CATCTTCCTCTGTAGCATGGGGATGGTTCACCTAATAAAGCATGCCCAAGTGATCTCATGTTTAATTGCTTGCAGAGTCTTTGGGCATTGGTAATAACCTGTTCTCTGTTGGTGACATACATAGTTTGTGTAAAAGGACAGAAAATACTATTTCTGGACTTGCACTGCAGAAGTTTGTGAACTTGCTTGGCTCAGGTAGCACAAGTGCAAAAGGTGAGCAACTGCTTCTAATTCTGGAATGGGCAAATAAATACCCACTCTGCTCTTCGGGCGCTGTCAGGGGTTCACTTCCACCAAGACTTTGTCCTCCCTGTGGTCCATATTGAACAGGCTGAGAGCTGCTCTTTGACAGGGAATTGGGTGATTCCTTATGACTCCTCAGTGGAGCTTGTTTTAAAAGACTTTGCCTCGTTTGAATGAGGTGACTCGTTGCTTTGGCCTGAATTGAGAGCCTGAGAAGCCAGTTGGAAAAACAAGCTTTCATCTCATGGGGGAGTAGGTATTTCCTTGCCATTTCCTTGCTTTGATGAAATAACCAATAAAGTAGAAACAAAGGCTGGAAAGTTAGTCGAAACCAAAATAAAAGGTATAACCAAAGCAACTTCATGCCCACCTCAGCTGAGGTGTGATGGCTGTGGAATGACCAGCAGCCAAACTTTGCAGTGTGACTTCTCCTGCCTCTGTCATCTGCCCTCTGAAGACATCTCTTAAATGATGCACTGATGAATGGCACTTCTGTTTAACAGTGTCATCCGCTCATGTCGTGGTTTAACCCCAGCACAGCCAAGAACCAACAGCCTCTCACTCACTCCCCCACCAACAGGATGGGGGAGAGAATCAGAAGGGTAAAAGCTACAAAAACTCATGGGTTGAGATAAAGACAGTTTAATAGAGAAAGCAAAAGCTGCACACACAAGCATAGCAAAACAAGGAATTCATTCACTGCTTCCCATGGGCAGGAGGTGTTCAGCCATCTCCAGGAGAGCAGGGACCATCACGTGTAACAGTTCCTTGGGAAGACAAACACATCACTCCAGATGTCCCTCCTTCCTCCTTCTGCCTCCCACCTTATATACTGAGCATGATGTGCTGTGGTATGGAATATCCCTTTGGTCAGTTTGGGTCACCTGTCCCAGCTGTGTCTCCTCCCAATCTCCCATGTACCCCCAACTCCCTCCCCAGTGTGGCAGTACAGAAAGCAGCAAAGGCCTTGGCTCTGTGTGAGCTCTGCTCAGCAACAACAAAAACATCTCTGCATTATCAACTCTGTGTTCTACACAAAACCCAAACATAGCCCCATACTAGCTTCTATGAAGAAAGTTAACTCTACTTCATCTCAAACCAGCACATGGAATGTTCTCCAGCATCTGTCGCTTTGTTTGGAAGCTGTCACAAAGATGAAATCAGTCAAGAGTGGCTGAGAAAGTGTTTGGGGTTTAAGAAGGGCTGTTTACCTCCAGGCTGCTGCTGTGGAGAACTTGGAGTAATTTCTGTGAGCTTCTGTGTGTGTTATCCTCGTGGAAGAAGTGTTGGTACTTTCTGCTCTCTGTACCTACAGCAGATCCTATTTAAAACAGGGGGAAAAAAACCTCAGGAAAATATTAAGAATTTGCAATTTGATGAAATACCTTTTCATGGTCTGCTGGTTGTTGATAGATTATTAATATAAAAAGCTGTTTTCTAATGAATTTTTGATTTGTGTCTGATAACACAGTCAAGTGGTGTGTATTCTTCATTTTCAAAGCAGAGACCTAGAAAATGATAGAATGCCAGAAAGCTCAACCTCAGAGCTGTAATTCCCTTAGGCTGTTAGGAGGATGTGATTGTGTATCTAGCTCTTTTTTTAAAAATGGTGATTGTTGAACTTGCAATAAATCAAATACCTGAGAAAACAGAATTTCATTCTGTATTTCTCCCCAAGTTAAAAAATGAGAATTTTCCCTCCGTATCGGCTCATCTGTAATTTGGGTTTTTTGCACAGAGGATAACCATAACATTGCTGTGAAATTGTGATCAGCTGTCATACTCTGTGTTTTAACCTAGCGTGTCAAAGCTTCATTTTCTTACATCTTGCACTGCAAATCACGTACAGATTTTGTGAGTTTTTTAAAAACCAAAATTAAACAGTGACTTGAATGTCTAAGGTCATATTTATTGCCAGTTAAATTGAACAGAAGTCACTTGTTTTTTGTTTCTAGGATTAAACTTTAAGCTGGTAGACCTACTCCAGTAATTTAACAGCCCAAATTTTTGTCAGCTGTAGAACTTGGTTTTGTAACAGCTGTTTAAAGGCTGTTTTGGTTTGTTTGGGTTTGTTTTTTTTTTTTAAATTTCTTGCACCACCTTCTGTGTATTTGGTCAATATCAAAGATTGACCAAACACCTGATTCTTGGATCAAGGATGAGTTTTGTTTGTTTTGGAAAGCATTAAGGTAATAACATAAATACACAGAAAAAATACTATGTTACTGCTAACATGGAATCAGAGAATAATCAGAGTTGGAAGGGACCCTGGAGGGTCATCTAGTCCAACTCCTGACCCTGCACAGACGTCTCAGACAATCACACTGTGCTGAGAGCATTGGCCAAACACCTCTGGAGCTCTGTCAGCCTTGGGGCTGTGACACTGCCCTGGGAGCTGTTCGGTGCCCAAACACCTCTGGGGGAAGAACCTTGTCCTGATACCCAACCCAACCCTCCCAGACACAGCCCCAGCCGTTCCCTGGGTCCTGTCCCTGGCCCCGGGAGCTGAGCTCAGAGCTTGCCCAGAGTGCGAGCCTCAAACCGAGTGGAGCTCTGTCCTCAGTCTCCTCCAGCTGAACAGCCCAAGTGACCTCAGCCACTCCTCCTGTGGCTTCCCATCAAGGCTCTTCACCATCTCCATTGCCTCCTTTGGACACTCTCCAATAACTTCATAACTTTCTTATATTGTGGCACCCAAAACTGCACACAATGCTCAAGGTGAGGCTGCAGCAGTGCAGTGCAGAGCAGGACAGTCACTCCCTCAGCTGTTTGGCAATGCTTTGCCTGATGCCCCCCAGGACATGGTTGGTCCTCCTGTCTGCCAGGGCACACTGCTGACTGATGCTCAACTAACACCACCAAGGTCCCAAGTCCCTTTCCACAGCACTGCTTCCAGCATCTCATTCCCAGTCTGTACCTGCAGCCAGGGCTGCCCCATCCCAGGTGCAGAATCTGCCACGTGCCCTTGTTCAACTTCACGTGGTTGGTGATTGCCCAGCTCTGACATGACTGACCAGGACTGCTCCTGCCACTGTTAATATTGCAGGACATGCATATTATTTATAATCTGAGCTCCCTCTTCCCCTCTGTGGTGATTTTCACCCTAGCTGAGCTAAGTTGCTTCCTCAGCCTGTGTCAGTCAACATCAGAATTCTGAGCTATGGTAGCTTGGAAAGGAATGGCATAAAATCTTGTTGTTTGGGAGTTTTGTTTACTTTTTTTCAGGGTTTTTTTTTTTAGCATACCAAAAGAGACTTTTGGAGATGACAGCAGTGATCTTTGGTTTAACTGTGGGTTTGGCTCATATGGAAAGTTGTGGAGCTTGTGCCTTTTAGGAGAAGATATCAAATTATCTGGGGAAGTCAGGGGTGCAGAATGGGATTTGCAAACAGTGAGATGTTAAGTAGCATTTTAAATTTTGAGTGCTGAGTGAGGTGTCATTAAAGCAGCCAATGAGAAAATGTTTGAGACATGTCAAAACTAATGTTTCTCTGTGTGGTAGATGCCTTTACTCCTGCCTGCCAAGAGTGCTTTTTTCTTATTTCTGCTTTTTGAAAGTAATGTCACTTTTCCTTATCATAGAACCATCAAGGTTGGTGGAGACCTGTAAGATCATTGAGTCCAACCATTAACTTGCCACTCTGCTGTAACCCCTTATGACCTTATAATACTTGTCCTTGTTAGAACACTGACCTTCAAAGTGGAAAATGAAGGTTTAAATCTCCTTTTTCAGACTGGAATTCAAAATCCACACGCTGTGCTTCTCTGTGCTGAGAAATCCCTGACTTCTTCTTGTTGAAGTTGTTCCTCATTGCAGAGAGAGGGGGGTGTTACTACTCCCTCAGCTTCATCTGGCTGAATGGTAGAGGCAGTCATGGAAAAAGGATGTAGGGCAGAGCAGGAGTTATTTATAGGCCTTTCTTTTCTTCCTAATACAATTTCTGGTTTGAGGCTGTTACTGTATTCTGTTCTAAAGACCTTTGGTGTATGTGTGAAAAGTCTTTTGGGGAGTAAAATGCAGAACTCTGAGCTTTTCTTTGCTCTTTAAATCATATTGTACAGATGATTATATTGTACAGGAAGGGCAATGCCCTTATTTCTTTGTCTTTGAAAGAAAGTAGAATGCTACATTTTGAGAGAAACTGAAAAACAATTGCCTGACCAAACATTCAGAGGAAATGAAGAGAGGATCTGAGGATCCTCTATGTGGCTGAGACATGGACTTTTCATTGAGTTTAGTCATATGGTACAAACACTTTAAACTGTTTTCAAATTCTAATATGTTACTGTCAAAATGGAGAGAGTTGTTTCCATGCCAGGGATTAGGGAGCAGTGTGAGCAAGACTTTCCTGATGTATGGGTAAGATTTTAGGTGTATAAGTGAAACTGAAATTCTGTGTGTAAGTGTCCAAACTCTTTGTGGGCTTAGCTGTATTAAACTCAGTTGTTCAGGTACCCAGCCTGTCCTGTTTGTTGAAGTACAGTTAACTTGGTACAACCAGTCTTTTTAGGGAATCTAGAAGAAGTCGTTCCCTTTGGAGCTAAACATTTTGATGCCAAAAGACTGATTTGCCAAGTGTGGTACTTCTGCTTCTCAGAGGAAAATTAGTGTCACAGCTTTGTGTCTGGTATTTTGTTAAACTCTGCATTGTTATTTTGGTTTGTCATAGCTCTTTCTGCAAAAAGAGCTACAGCAGGTTTTAGATGTTTAAGTTGCTCTCTTTGTTTAATAACAAGTTTTTTGTTTTTCCTTGCAGCTTTCATCCAGTCAGATGGCATCATAGAAATGCTACGTTTTGATGAAGGAGACCTATTGCAGGTATGTCATCTGAGTAAATCATCTGAACTAGTGTTGGATCATCTCCTTTTTGATAAGAGCTTTTTGACACTCATGGGTAGGTGGATTTTTGAAAATAAACAATCATCAAACAGAAGTCCATAAAACCTTTGGACTTTTGAGTTATTTTTCAACAGTATACTTTGGTGTGTCCTGATCTTTTATGTTGGGAAACTAGTGGAGTTTATCACAGGTTCTGTCAGGTCTGTTTGTCCAGGTTGGTTTTTTTTTTCTCAGAAAACTGAGGGATACTTTGTGTTTATGACTTAAGAGTTGGGATGCAGTTGGATAACTCAACTAGAGATGCTGCAAGTGTGGCAAGATTCTTGAACCTAAAGGCCATGGGACCAAGTTGCCATTGGGTTTAAAGAAACTTAATTACTGCAGTCAGATAGTTGCTGTTGCAAATATATGTTTTCCTGGTATAATGTTGCCATTCCTGTCAGCTTTCTTTTTGTATGAGTCAAAATAGGCAAAATGTTAACTGAAAAGAATTAAGTGCTGATATTTTGAGCTGGTGGTAGTAGTTGGGATGAAATACATAGCAATGTGGCTTGATACTGTAGAGTTACATAGTCCTGAAGTTCTGTTGACTAAAATTTCACGTGCATGTGTTTTGTGGATTGGAATTTTGTTGAGACTATCTTGGTGTTTTGTTAAAAGTCCTTGATGATGTTAGTCCTAGTAGTTGAAAGGGAGGAGAGAAGAAAGAACAAAGCAATTAACTGTTTAAATGAGTAGAACATGTGGCATATGACTGTGTTTAACTTAATTAGTTACCAGTGCAGTGCTTGATTTACAATTCTTACCTCCTTTCCAATCCAGAAGAGTCAACATATGTAAAAAGTGTACAGTTCTAGGCCCATGATAATGTTTGTTTCAGATTTATAAGGGTGTCTTTTCTCCCCCCACCTAAGTTGTTTGGGTTTGTTGTTCGGTTGTTTGGGGCTTTTTTTTTCCTTCTTCGCTTCTTAGTCCTTAATGTGAATCAAAAATATCTTACTCTAGATGTTAAGGTTATAATGTACAAGATTGATCACAGTGATGTAAATTGGTGACAGGGAAGACTGCAGTTAAAACCAAACAAAACCCCCAACCTCCCCCCTTAAAAAAACCTCAACCCAAACACAAAAAACCCTTCCAAGCAAGCAAATAAGAAAGTACAAGGTTCCTCATTAACCAGTTGAGCTGTCATGTGCTAAACACAGTGTTAAAATAGATATCTGTGTAAGCTTATGTTTGGACATGTAGCTTAGAGTGGTGGAAGTTTTCCATATAGTGGTTACAGGCTCAATTATTGAAGCTTGTGACTCTGAATATTTCTTTTAACTTGCACAGAGGTACCACAGATCACTGTAAATATAAGGAGAAAACCAAAAGGCTTTGTTTCTTTTCTTTTCCACACTCTATTAGAACATGTTTTGCTTGACACAAGTGGTTTAATAAAAATGTCATTGGCCCAGTGTTTAACATAAAGATGACAAAGTCAAATTCACTTACCTGTACTTTAGGTGTTTCTTTTTCACCAGGATTCTTTTTTTTAAAAACTAGTTAAAGTTAATCTTAGAAATCTGTAATTTACTTACCTTCATAGGCTGCTGAATGTTTGATGTAAAACAAGACAAGAGAGGCAAAATTTCTAAAAAATGATTTGTGTGTCTTATGTTATGGCTGTGGCTCTTAAGACAAAAATACCTATATAAGTGGAAGCAGTTCCTTTTAATCAGAATGATAACATATACAATTTTTTTCTAGCTAACAAATTATTTGGTTTTTTCCATGTAGATTTTAACATGGTGACCTCTTGTGACTACTTACTGCAATTAAAAAAAAAGCAAAGATGCTGTTGTGAAAACAAACTTGTGTCCTGTGAACAGCAGCTACTAAAGTTTTAAACCTAGTGTAGTGTCACTGTTTGCCCTTTGAGGTTTTCTGTAAGCTTCCTAAATGTTTGTTGACTCTAGATCATCCATTATTACAGCACAAATACCATGATGTAGTAGTAAATCAGTATTGTCTAATGTTATGTCACCTTCAGGCAATTTTTTGTGAATATAAAAAGGAACCAATTCAGCACATAAAGTGATTGATAATCATTGAAGTGTCAAAGCCATCTCCAGTCTTGGTTTATTCCCACTCCCTCCAAGAATTTGCTATGTTTGCAGTGGAAACAAGCTTTTTTTCTGGTTTGAAAGAGTTGCTTTCCAAGTAAGGCAAATCAAATGCCAAGCCTTGAATAATTTTGTCATTAGTCATCCTGCCACCTCCCTCCAGTTACTGTCATCTGTCTTGTACTGGGTTTTTGTGCTTGTTTGGACTACATACTGTTGATAAAACAATCCTTATGTGTTTCAATCGCATTTGAGGGCTTTTGTTGTAAAAAATAAATGAAATGTGTTGAAAAATTGGGTTTGACCAGGCTGAGAACAGTTATTGATTGACAGATCATAAATCTTTCAGTTTTCAATAGAAGAACGTTGCATTTGGTAAGAATAAACTGACAATGGAAATTTCATTAGTTCATGCTTGTGGATAACAGTAGCAAAGTAGAGACTTGTATTTCTTGGGTGTGGACTTAGTCTGTGGATTAGAAAGTGCTATACAATGTCATTTTATCTTCTATTTTGCCAGAGCAAAAGTAAGAATTCTATTCTGTAGCATACATCTTCAGATTAAAGGTTTATATTTAAACAAATTTATGCTATTTCTGCCTCTGGATTAAATTACAATAATGAGAGAATTTTCTTGTTCTGTCTCTTCTTCACTTGAATCAGTCCTTTTAAGGATAAGAACTTAACAACTCTTTGACCCCTTCAAATCATTTATTTAGATCCTGAACATAGGGTAAGAACAGTGTTACTGTAAATGCAGTGTAGGGTGGGGGTTTTTCTTCCACAGCAGGTGGTTTGCAGATGTCTGTGTAATTGGTTGGCATTTGATAGATTTGGGTGGTTGGAATGGACCTTGGGACTTCACCTGGTACTTTCTTCAGGTAGTGTCCTGTGTAAATGGACCTACCCTTGGCAGGTGGTTGACTCTTCTGGTCTTAGAACCTCTAGAGAAGTAACATTCATATGATTGCTTAGGTACATATTTGTTTCATGCCTAAGCTGATTGTGCTGCTGCTTTTTTGCTTGAATATATATTCACTTGTGGTTTTTGATTTGGTTTTTCCCTCTTCATCATGATAATTTTGTACTAAAACCCACCTACAGCTTCTTCATGCAAACTTGTAAAAACAGTCTTTCATTACTGGATTTTTATTTGTCTATAGGCTACTTAAAGTGTAGCATTTCATTGGGACATTAGTTCTCTGAGGCTCAGACAGGACACAGTGGTTCCTTCCCTGTGTAGTAACACTTGTTTTAGTAATTCCAAAACGAGGTCTAAGTTTTCGACAGCATTTTGTTTGCTCATATGGTTTGTGCTCACTGTGCCCTCCAGACACTGTTTTCTTTAGTGTGCTAGCAGTTAGCCAGTTCTTTCCTTCCCAGTTTTGGATTTGAGCTCTCCTTCAGCTGAGCTTCCCCTTGTCAGTGCCATCTCCTCCACGTGTCCTGAGTGTTTGAACCCTTGTGCAGCCCTGACAGATGCTTCGAGCCCCTGACAGTGATGTCATCTGCAAATATTAGGAGAGCTTTCATGTTAAGCCAGCATACTGTCTTCCTTTTTGAGGGCTTTACTTTGAAAAGTGAACAGTAAAGGGAAGTCTGTTTTTCAGAGCAAAGTTTTCATTTGTTTTTAGTTCATAAAGAACTGTTTCCCAGGTCACTGTTTGTTGTGAGAGCTCTTGCCTTGGGTAGCTAATATTCTTCTGCACAATGTAGTTGATGACACAGTTCTCTAGAGTGAGTGATCTTTTATTCAGAATAAGTGTTTGAAAAGTACTTCTGCTTATGTACCAAGATTTTTGAAGTAGCCTATTCCTAAAATGTAAAAGTTGTAAGACTTTTCCATCAAATTCTCTTAACGTGAATCTGCTGCAATTAATATCAAGTGTGTGAGATTATTTTTTACAGGTGAACTCCTAGAAATTATGTTTCTGATACTCACTGGTTTGCAGAACAGCTGAAATAGGGGGGAAAAAACAACCCCTGTGTGGTTATATATACTTAATGCATGTTTTCTGCCTTTGTTCATAAAATGCTGTAAACTGCTAGCCCCAAAGGCTGGCCAGGAGAATTGCAGTGGTCCTAAATGTCAAATAGACAGAACTTTACTATGAGTTGCAATGGCTTTGCAACATGGAAGCCTTGAGACCAAGTTACATGTGTGGGAATCAGCAATGTTCATCTCCTGCTGGAGGGATTTTAGCATTTTCTGCATGATCTGTGCTCTATTTCATATGGCTCATGAGAGAAGTATCTTAACAGAAGTGGCAACTATTCAGTTCTGGTGTATCAACAGTAGTGTTTTCAGAGAGTAAAGTTTTAAGTATGTTTTTTAATTACCTCAGGTTTTCCTATTGCATGTTGACTTTTGGAAGGGTTTTGGTATCATCTCTACTGACATCCATCTAGCCAAACTGCTAAGATACAGCCAGTGTAAGTGGGCAATAAAGTGGCTGGGGCCATTGACCCTGATGGGTGTATCCTGCAGGACAAAGTTCAGCTGGCAGTCACTTGCTCCTGAGGACAGTGCTGCTTAATGTCTTGGTCAGCAGCCTGGGGGATGGGATGGAGAGTACTCAGTGAGTTTGGGAATGCTACCAAATTGGGCAAAGTAGTTGTTACACTGGAAGGCAAGGCTGCTCTTCAGAGGGACTTTGGCAGGCTGACAGGAACCTCATGCCATTCAGCCAAGGCAAATGCAAGGGCTGCACCTGGGGGAGGATAACCCTGTGTGGCAGGACAGGCTGGCACTGACTGGCTGGACAGCAGCACTGCAGGAAACTCAGGGAGGGTTCTGGGAGACAACAGGTCCAGTATAAGTTGTCCATGTGCTGTTGTAGCAAGGGCAACTGCCAACCTACTGAATTGTAG